TATGTTTGAGGCCATCATGATCGGTGTAAAGAACCGATGAATCAAATAATGTCACCAACAACGAAGAGCTTGAATAACAACATAAAACTGAATGTCATAGGTCGAATATTACCGCTTCGCATCATTGAATTTCTTGCTGATCCACCATAACACATCCAAAGACACCACAAAACCCCAGAACATCAAACTGCCCATCATGAAACTACCCTTCTTAAGGTTAATATACAACTTCTCAGCCCTCAAAAGAATAAGTCCCTGGTGCAAATGATTAAGGTGTGCCTTTGATTCAGTGCTATATATATAACGATATCATAAAAATATACGACAACAAACTTTCCAAGGAAATCATGCAAGACTCGAGTCATCAAGTGCATGAAAGTGCTAGGTGTGTAGACAGCCCGAATGGCATAATCTCATACAAACAACTCTTTCTTTTGAAGGCCGTCTTCCACTTGGTCCCTTATCGAATAAGGATCTGGTGATATTCGCTTCCCAAATCTATCTTTGAGAACACAAAGAACCAGCCAACATGTCTAACATGTAAAGTCTTGGTAACAGAGACCAATACTTAATTGTGATCTTGTTGAAGGCTCTACCACTAGCGCTCATGCGCCAAGTTCTTTCTTTTGGTGTCAGCAATGCCGGAACTGCACATGGGCTCATACTAGGCCAAATCGGTCACTTAGACATAAAAACTCATTAACTTGGCGCTGCAACTCCTCATGCTCCTTGGGGCTATTTTGATATTGCTAGTAAATTAGGTAAACGAGACCCTGGAATGAGGTCAATAAAATGTTGTATATTCCTCATTGGCAGCAATCCAGCTGGTAATTCTTCCAGTATAAAATTGACAAATTTCTCCATCAAAGGCTTAAGCGCTTATGGGACCAGGGAGCTTTGGCCCAAATCCTATTCAACCATCATGCTTCCCATATTCTCACTCGCCTCCACAAATTGTAGATACGAAAGCAAAGTCACACCTGACTCCTTAGTGGATTTGTATGGGACTTCATCTCGCAACAACGATAGAACAATCTATCGTCCATCCTTCCAAAAGGTATAAGTGTCGTGTTCACCATTATGAAATGTCTTGCGATCAGATTGCCATGAGGGACCAAGCACGTGTGGCAGACATCCATAGGTGCAACATCACACCACCCCTCTCTTGATAAAAAATTCCAATAGAAAATTTAACAAGACAACGAGAATTGAGTGGTACCTTGACTCCTCTTTTGAACCAAGCAATTTTATAAGGTTGTGGGTGTTTCACACCCTTCATTTATAATTTATTGAAAGCCTCCTCTGACATCATGTTCTCACAATTGCCACTATCAATAATCAAGTTACACATTTGCCTATCACAAGTGCAACGTGTGCAAAATATATTAGATCGCAAGCAGCTATCATCTTGTGGGACTTTCGGAATAGAAAGAAACCTTCTGACCAGTAACGTCTCTCCGTGGTCCACAGGTACCTCCTCACCTTGTTCAACTTGCCAACCTCCTCATCATACATTAGCTCTCCCAAATCAGCAACTGCCACCTCTTCTATCTCACCACCTTCCTCGGCTTGGCAAGATTAGCATATGTTGTTGGGCAGCAGCCAATGGGCAGTACGCTGCCCTGTGACCCATTTTCATCATCGAAAACACTGAACACCTGATTGCACATTTGTTCAGGCACATAATCGAGTGTTGTACAAGGTACATCCCCCTATCGATCACCCAAAGCTCACTCCTTACTCGGGCCAACAACTTCCCAGGTTGGAGGCGTCACCCTCTTGGGCTGTGACGTCCCCACACCTGGCCTCCAACTGACACCCTTTCTTTGCCTCTCCTCGGCTTGCAAGGCAGCTCGATATGCCACTTCTACTCAGGGCAGTTGTTGCAAGGAGAGTTCATCCTGGATTTGAAACCGCAAACCCAAGATATACCTTGCCACTTGCTGATCCTCCGTCTCATCCAGCCCCATGCGCATGGACAGGCAATGAAAGTCCTCCATATAGTTATGGACAGACCTCAAATCTTGCTGCAATTGATGGAATTGTGCAAAGTTCGAGGATGAAATTGCTCGCACAACTTTGCCCAAGTTTGAATCTTATCTTTCCCCTTTCACAACCTCGCCTCTTGAACTTGATCCCACCAAATATATGCAAGTCCCCAAAGCTTGGTCACAACTAGCTTTACTCCCTTTGACTCCGACAACTCCTTCCATTCAAAGAATCTCTTAACTGGGCTCAACCAATCCAAGATCCTCTGATGATATGATACCAAAACATTCAGGTAAATCAACTTTTATACCTGAATCGTCATCACGGCATCGTGTGTGTCTACTCACAATTCGCCCATTTGTATCACCATCCAACTCACATCTTTGTTGTGGCCTTTGTGAACCATGGCTCTTACTAGAATCACTCTCCGAATCTGATCCAGATGACGTCATCTCAATCTCCGATTCACGTGCTCACCAAACAAGCCACCATTTATGGACTCCATAACTGGGGATTGTCTCTCACTCATGTCACGTCTCCACCGATTCCTATCTTACATAAGCAAGGCCACCAACTCCATTAGATTGTGCACAGTTTCAGCCAACCTATTGAAATCACAAGCTCCATATCTTTGGCCACGTCCTCTACCAAGAGCAGCCATCACGATTGATGAAGCTCACCAACCGTGGCTCTGATACCAAATGCTGCAAAACTGGGCACCAACCAGGAAGGTATAAGTCCAGTTAAGCAACAAGATTCGTTAATCACTGTCAAAGGGAGGGAAAATAGTCCCTTCAACCTATGAAGCCACTACACCTCATAGGGCCTCATCAACTACACAATGTAGGAGGAAATGCTATTTTCGTTAGTTAAATCGTCAACCACTCAAAATTACGGCAATTACAAGTTTACATAGAGTCCAAAATAACAAAACCTTGTACGCACAAACCCTAGGCAGAAATGACTATTTTGCCCTTAGGACAATAGAATAATCCCTATACTGCCCTTGTTTCTCAATTTCCTACATGCATGCAATCTAATGGTGCAACAAAATTCCCAGGCCCAAGGTTTCGTGCAAGAAGCAAATTTCCATGTGTTAAAACGGCAGACAGTTGACTCTTTGACTCATGGAAACTTTCACAAGTTAAATTACTTGTCTCTACATCAAACTCTCCAGCCCTTCAATTAATCCAAGGAAGTCCCTTAATAACAAATTACACAAGACATAGTAACAAAACCCAAAATGACCAATTTAACAAAGGTGGTAATGTCAAACATGTCCCTGGTCCAGCAAGCTTCTAGATACAATTTGCATCAGCCTCCTTGTCAACTATAAAAGAGTGGTGAAACATGTAGCTTCCATGTTGCCGATGTTGATAATCACGACAATGACAAGCGCACCCGAGAACACCGAATGAGTGGGCTTAGTACTGTAACAAATCAGGTCACCCCAACTAGGACACGGCCAATAGATTCTAGAGTCTGGGCCCAAACCCAATGCATGCATGCACAAAAACCATGTCAGGTCTGGGTCGGATCAAGCCAAACCCGGAAATGACCAAGAAAGGTCCAGGCCAGACTTGGTCGGGTCCAAATCTGGACTTGACCCCTGGGTCTAAACTTGGACCCGAGTCAAGTCAACCCAATGGGCCAATGGGGTCAACCCGATCCAATTAGCACCCCCAAGTGGGCCTCCACCATCATGGAACCCAAGAAGAACCAAAAATGAACTCTAAGACCATCCAAGGGGATACTTATCCAAGAAAAACGACCCCGTTCAAATCAACCCAATGGGTCACGGGGTTGACTCTATGCAATTAGCACCCCTAGCTAGACGTCCACCACCATGGGCCCAATAACAACTAAAAATGAACTCTAAGACCATTGAAGGGGATACTTTTTCCATAAAGAAAAGGACCACTCAAGGGGAACATTGCAGTTTAGATTCAAGCTAGAGGGTCCAAATCAATGCCTCGAACAAAAAAATAGTCATCTATGAAGCTCAGTGAGAATAATTACGAAAGGAATGGCACATTTAGACATCATGGTATCCTTAAGCAAAAGTACAATACATTGCTCCATATGCATAGAGATGGCATACAAACGTTTTGCAAGCCTTAATGGTTTGTACCTCGCATTAAGTAAAAGACCCCACTATAAATAATTTAGATAAAGGGCTTGGATAATAATGATGACTATGATGATAATGATGATGAAATAATTTGCACGAAATGAAACCACATCCCATATCATCTAAAATGGATCCAAACAGGATCTGATATGGGAAATGATATGAAGAATTTGTCCTATGATGGTTTGCTATAATGTTACAAAGACCGAGATAGATCTCAGATTCAAAGAATCTGACTTGCCTACCTATATATTGCCAAGTCCAGTATGACAAGTCTGTACAACACATAGATGTAAAATTAACTGAGACTTTTTAATAGTAAAACTAACTCGATAAAAATCAAATATGCAAGTCCAAGGAAATACATGCATTTCCAAATCATAACACGTGCAAGTGTCTTACAAACAGACATGTGTATCTTGTTTGTCCCGACCATGGACTCGTGTGTCCACATATCGCAGTGTCGGCGAATCCAAAAAGAATAAAAAATCAGACACACATATTGATATGGATTTCCCAGGTATGGATACATGTATATACACGTGTCTGGTGAGTTGGTGTGTCAGATTATCCTAAATGCATGCGACATTTGTGTTGTCTGGTGAGTTGGTGTGTCGGATTAACCTAAATGCATGCGACACTTGTGTTTTTGCTATGTAGGCTTCTTTCAGCTCTTATATACAATTCATAACATAGATTGGTGGAAATGTTACAGTTAACAAACACAACTTTATAGACAAATGCATGGCAAGGGTCAAAGTATTTTTTATAGATAACGAGTAAAGCAAACTTATCAAACTTTCACAAAGAAGAAGAAGTACCTTCAGATAATGAGTATAGCAATTTAGCTTATCAAACTTTCACAAAGAAGAAGAAGTACCTTCTTATGCAGCCCCGAGCTTCCCACAATCAAATGAATCAGCAACAAGCTGCTTTATTGCATCTCTCAGCTTGTAATAGTCTTCTACAACATTATAAATTTGGTGTGATATCCTCACATACCCAACAGCACATTCCTCTTCAACCCCATCTCTCGGTTGTTTATAATACACAGGAACTTCCACACCATAATTTTCCCTCAAGTGGGTCCTCAAATTCAATGCATCCATTTCACTCAGAACCTTCAAACAAGCAGGCAACCCAATCATTATCATACTAGAACACATCTCTGGTGTTGTACCGAGTTTGGTTCCCCAAGCATCAGCCAACATTTTCCCCATCAAAACAACGTTATCATGATTCCTCTTCATAATCCCTTCAAGCCCACCTTCAAATTTCTTTACAAATTCAAGCACAGAAGGCACAACAAGCTGAGAGCTATAGTCCCTTGTCCCAATCCAAGCACTTTCAATGGCCAATCCATTGCCATATTCATGAGAAACAATTGGGTGATGCATATCTGATTGAGAAAGCTTCTTACAATACAAAAAAGCAACAGCTGGAGGGCAAAAGAACCATTTGTGCAAATTACTAGTATAAAAATCAGCCCCAATAGATTGAAGATCAATATCAATACTACCTATGGCATGAGCAGCGTCTACAAAGACCTGGTCAACACCTTCTTCTCTACAAATTCTTGTCAATTCCTTTACTGGAATCAACACACTAGGCATCGAAGTTATATGATCGATAACAGCTAATCTCACTCTTCGACCGCCCGATTTCCCCTCTGCCAATGCTTTTCTGAAACTATCTACAATTTCTTTATCAGAACTAACTGGAAACGGCAACTCTACCTCGATTATAGACCCACCTGCTCGTTTCACATAGGCTTGGATTGCTGTTTTAACAGCTCCATATGCATAATGAAGCATCACAACTGCATCTCCTCTATTGTATTTTCCCTCCATGAATGCCCAAGCAGTCTTCTGCAACACTATTGCAACAGCTGTTGTTGCATTATCAACAATGGATATTTCTTCAATTGATGAAGCATTTACAAGCTCTGCGATGACCTTTCTAGACTGGAGGATCCCTTGTTGTAATGGACCGAAGTAGAACCTGTCTGGATGTTGAAGATAGATCTTCTGCCATTCACACTGGGCTTTGAGGACAAAATTGGGGCAACTCCCAAAACTTCCATTGTTTATACGCGCAACGCCTGATTCATGGTGAGCGAATTCTGCTTGAACAAGGGAAGCTTCTGACTCTTGAGCTTCTGCAACTTGTGGAGCTGTTAGTTTGGGCTTTTTAGGGTTTGGGGCGAAACTTGAGCTTCTGTCTCCATTTTGCTTCGTCTCATGGTGATCCAAAGAGTGCACACAAGCACAGTGCCCATTGTTTGAATCCATTAGAAAGAGAGGGATTAACAGAGAGAAATTGAGAGAGAGAGTTAGGGCATTTAAAAGAGACAAAGGGACTTAGTCTCTGGGACTTGTTAGGGTACAGACAGAAGATACAAAGATATAAAGTGAGAGAAGGCAACGAAATTGTGGGAGATGATTTAGGATCTGGATGGATAAATCATTCAGAAATTAGGGTTTCTGATTTGCAGGACGTTGAATCGGCCTGCAAAAGTATAGAGAGAGGAGGGGCAATAGCCACTAAGCCGTAGAGAGAGAAAATATGAGAGAGAGAGAGAGGGGGCAGTAGCGACAAGCGGTAGAGAGAGAAAATGTGTGAGAGGTGGCAGGCGTTAGAGTCTCAGAGAGAAGGAGAGAGAAACACCAAGTGGAAGAGAGACCACTTTAGCACTGGTGGATAACGGATGCGACGTCATGTCCCATTTTTACTAACTAATCAATCACATCCTACTGCTTAATTGACCATTAAAGCCTCAACATTTGCTAATTATCAGATTATAAGAACAACAAAACTTGTCATGCGTGGCCATGCTACACGTACCAGTCATTTTGTAAAGTCCCAATGGGCACATATTTATGGACTAGACCGCCAACTACACAAGTCGGATTGCCAAACGCTGTCGGAGCCGGTGCACATCAAAACTAAGGATGTACTATTAATTTTGATGGGTAGTAATAATTTTTTATATAATTAAACAAAATTGATTATTTTTATGTAATATATTTTATATTTTTAAATTATTATTTTTATTTTTAAAATTTTTTATTATACCAAATCCTTTGTTGACTCTATAGCTGATTTGATATTACTAACACTCGTCGATAAACTTGCCATGCAATAAATACTTGAGTAGCACCGTCAGCTTTGTACTTGTTTTTTATTTTCGATATACATCAAAGTTTTATTACTTAAGATTAGTATAAAAAATACTCAAAAGTTGAGGTATATGAAGATTTAGGGACTTCCAGCCTTATTGAGAGTACATTCTTAATAAAACAAAATGACATATCAGGATTCGTATAGTTGATTCCAAGTAGTTGAGAAAAAACTATGAAAATGATGATATCAAAAATACTCTAAAATTGAGATTATCAAACTTAAATTGAAGTGAAATTTGGGTTGTGTTTGTTTGGTGGAAGTTTTGTCTTTGAAAGTAGAAATCTTGGGCATTTTGATTCCATTAGAAGATGGAAGGGGTGACTTCAGAAAATTGCCCCCTTTTTCTTGAACCATTGTTTACAATATGAAAAATGGAAGCTTCGTAGTTCCATTCCCATTATCATCACTAAGCTTTTTTTTCCAATTATTTAGAGTTGATTTCATTCCATGGTCCCCCATGCAGCCAAAGATGTACAAAAGCTCTGCTCTTGAAGTCCAACCTTTGATAAACTAACACGCCCTCAGTCTCGACAATACTATTGCGAATATGAATGAAATTTTTTGAGAAGCAGCCTTTTCATGCCTTTAATGCATTTAGTCGGGAAATTTAAATGCATTTAAAAAGAAAAATTAGGAAAATATTTATATAAGGTTGCAACCTCGTACTATAGAAATAAGGTGTGCAGCTTCAAAATTCCCAAAGAAAAGAGTTTTTTTAAGTTGAAAAGCCTTCGAATTGATCATCTCAATCTAAAGGTACATGAATATTATGAAAAAAAGAATTTCGAATCCTAAAAATAGTGCATCTTGCGACAAGTTATTTGGACTGTTTATTTTCAAAATTTCAATCCACAACCGATATAGATGGTTTTTCAAATTTTAAATTTCATAATTAAAGCTATATAAACACCTCGTATAAACCTCACCCTTTAAAATATTCATTGGGTGTTATTGTGGTTTTGGCATTTATTTTCATCAATGCCTTACAATTTTAAAATGATAAGGAGTGAGCGTAAATAAGGCATAGTGTGCTTTGGAAAGTCTATTTTTGTTTTAAGGGTGGCTAAACTTTTTTTTGCATTTAAGTATAATTATATGTGGTTGTATCTTCATATATATTATATTTATAAATTCAAAGATATTCACTCTTATGATCAAATGACTAGAAGTGAGCGGATAATAATGTTTTATTTTAAATATGACTGAAAATATATAATTGACATCATCGGGTCAAAAATTATCAACTTTGGACATTTGTAGGTCTCCATAAATATGTAAGTTAAAAAATACGATTTTCCATTAAAACCCATCGTTGCTTCTTAGTATTCTCTATATCCATTTAAACGTGCACGCTCTATTTTCTCCCTCGAATAAAACCCAATTTTGGAGTAGCTGTAGGACCCCAAATGATGGAGACATAACCTTCTAGACTCATAGACTAACCTCAATTAAAAAAATTTCAAATAGACTAATTTTGTGTTTGAAAAAAATAATGTCTCAGAATTAAATAGAGTTCAACTGTAAAAAAAAAAAACTTGAAATTAAAAATTTGTCTATTAAACATAATTATCCAGTGATTTTTTTAGGAACATCTTGCAAATTTCAAATTGAAAAAAAGTCCTTCCAAGTAGGTGATCCACCCAAGGGATTACATGTATAGTATGATACCGCGGGAGCAATATATACCCGCTCATCCTGTAAAGTCCGTACCTTATCCTTTCGTGTCCTTGCGCTCACTCTGTAGAGAGAGAAGCTCTGGTAACGAAATTCGATCGTGGTGCACTTCCTCTCTCTTACTCTTGTCAATAAAGATTTCCACTCTTTCCCTCACTGCAACTCCCATCTCTTTCCATGCGGCGATGGCCGCAACAACAGGATCTCTTCTGAATTCTCCTTCGCTTTTCCCGCCATTTCCTGCACCGCATAATCCTCATTTTTGCAATTTTCTTCACAATAACAGTACTTCACAGGCCCAAATTGAGTTTGGCGCGTGTCTTTTGGTGAGAAAAAGCTTGGTTTGGGGTTTTAATGGCACATATCCAGTGTATGGGGGTTTCAGAAAGAGAAAATCAGGGATCGTGGCTTCTCTTGGTGGTTTGCTGGGTGGTATTTTTAAGGGCAATGACACTGGTGAGGCCACAAGGAAGCAGCATTCTGCAACTGTGAGCTTGATTAATGGATTAGAAACTTCTGTTTCTGAATTATCAGATGCTCAATTGAGAGAGAAAACGTTGGAGTTCAAAGAGCGAGTTTCAGGGGGAGAATCATTGGATTCTGTTCTTCCTGTTAGTGTTAACTCCTCTCTCTCACACACACACATAAACAAATGATGTTGATTTTATCAGTTTTATTAGTTTTCTCTCTGGGTTATGGTATGAGGATTTTCTCTCACTATGATTTTGTTGCGTTTATCTTCGCTCAATATGACAAACTGCATGCTTTAATTGCGAATGTTTTCTGATTAATCTCAAGCGTATTCATGGGGCTTCGTGAACAGAATAATTTCACTCTTCACCATATAATTCTTCATGTTTTGAATTTTGCTATCATTTGGTAAATTGTTATGAATTCATATCAGTAATCAGTTTGTTGAAAGAACTTTTGGGGGCCAATGATCATCGCACAAAATTCAGATTCCGAATTGAGGTCTTAGTGGTTGTTATAGATATTGAAATTCTCTATTGTTTTTAAGTCATGGGTTTTCAGCAAGCATTCAGCTTCAGCATGGAAAGGTTCATATATTGAGAGCTAGAAAAGATCCTCAGCTGACTGTGACCAAGGTTCAGAAATTCGTATAGGACAAGGTACTAGGCCCTTGGCTGAGAGAGTAACTTGGCTGAGTCCGAGTGGATGGCCGAGTCACGTACAACCAGAAAAGGTAAAAAAATGGCAAAATAAAAAATGAAAATAGTTTTTTTTGGTAGTTTAGCTGTAGGAATCGAATTTTTATTTTTTAAAAATATTTAAAATAAGAAAAAAATAAAAGAGGTAGAAAGCAAAAAAATGACAAAGATCTATAAATATGGATTATTGAAAATTTTGATTTAGATATTGAATACTTCTGAAAAATTATAAAAAGGGGAAAAATATGAAAGTTCTCAAATCATCGTGAAAATTACCGAAATCATGTAAAAATTTGTTTCTAACAAATATAGTGGTGTTTCCCAAATTTTCTACTTTTCTATTTTTTATATTCTTTTACTACATTTATAAGGGTGAGGCGAGTTGCCGTGGAACTCGCTCCTACTCCGCCTTGCCTATAGGGCAAGCCCGAGTAACTCAACCAAGTCCGAGTGGATTCGAGCGAATCATGGAACGCTGACAGTGACCTTGAATAACCTAAATGGACATAGTCTAAAGTCTAAACGCATTAGAGGAGCAAGGCTCACTAGTTTTGTAATTTGTATTAACAAATTATTCCATGGTTTGCATGCCTAAATCTTTGCATATTCATACACATTCTTAAGGATAACACTAGTGATATGCATTCATGACCTGCCATCTGTACCTTGGGTTCCCTATTTCTAACTATATCAATACATGCTGACACCACAGAACTATATTAATAGTGTTGTGCATTAATCATCGAAAATATATAGTCTTTGGCAAAATGTCTTTCTTTTATTGCTCAAGAGCATGAAATAATATATGTTGCACATATGAGTCTCATAACATTATTCTGATTAGTAAAGTTTCCATGTGATGTCTTTTTGTAATGGTTCACATGAGACATGGACCAAAAGTTACTGTCATTGCATTGATATGCAATTAGAAATGCCATAATATGATCTATGCTTCTGATTTTCATGTATCTTACATATGGCAGAGAATCAACCTTCCAATAGAAAGCAGTTTCCTAATGGGCATGGGAACTTCCATTAAGAAGACCCTGTGGAAATAGAATAATGCAAGTCAGACTTGGATGGCTCTATTGTCTTAATTTGAAACTGCTTAGACTGATGATATTGAGTGACTTACACTATATTGTTCTGTCTTCATAGTGAACTTGAACTTCGAACCTGAGCTGTTAATTGCAAATCAGATTACTATGTTGTTGTCTTCATTATTGGTTAAACTTTTGATTGAGGGTGTTTTCAATGGCAGATTTGATTGATTTTTAGTTTATGAAGATAAGAAATGTTGCTCATCAAATCAAAAGCATAAGTGTTGCAATTTTTTATTTATTTATATTATTCATCATTCAATGTTTTTATTGACAGGAAGCATTTGCGGTTGTAAGGGAAGCTTCAAAAAGAGTTTTGGGCCTTCGACCTTTTGATGTTCAACTAATAGGTATCAGTTGGCTATTGAGTTACCTCCAGATATGATTGGCTAAAAGAAATAAGTTGCTTCAAAAAGACTTTTGGGCCTTCAGTCTTTATAGTTGGCTAAAAGAAATAAATTTTCTATAGAGTGAAAAAATATTGCTATTAATGCTAACTAACAACATGGGGAATTCACAAGTAATTTATTGATTTTCGACAAATCTCAACTAGCTTACTGTATGCAAATAGACACTATCAAAATGAAACCTCCTCCGTCTTTACTTAAAAAGATTGTATCATAGACACCATTCTTCCATTTTCAACAATGTGTCACCTTATATCTACCTCAGTTTTTTTTTTTTGTGAACAACATGTATTGTAGTATTTAAACGCACTAGATGGGGCATTGCATCACAAGAGAAACTAATTTAACCCAGTTATTAAAAAATTATTGTAGTCGATGAAGTGTTTGTATTCTTTGACCTAATTCCTGTTCAATATCGTGCAGGCGGCATTGTTCTTCATAAGGGTGAAATTGCAGAAATGAGGACTGGTGAAGGAAAGACACTTGTTGCAGTTTTACCTGCTTATCTGAATGCTTTGAGTGGGAAGGGAGTGCATTGTGTCACTGTGAATGATTATCTTGCTCGGCGTGACTGTGAGTGGGTGGGTCAAGTTCCACGATTTCTTGGACTACAGGTCGGCCTAATCCAACGTATGTTATCCTCTTGAAATCCTGAATCAATAAACATTTAATTTTGCAAGAAATTTTTGACAATACATTTACTTCTTTTTTATTACAAAACTACCATCTTTCCTTGATTTGTATAACCCTGTTACTTTTTTTCCCGAATGTGATGAATAGCAGTGTTCTTTTATGAGTGATTGATGCAACTGTAGAGAAGGAAAAAAGTGGCAGAGGGATGACATTATTAATCCAGTCGACCATGGAAAATCATCATCCATTGGGGTCATCAGTTCATCATTGTACGCTGAAATGATGAATGGTGATGGAGAGTGCAGCTCGTGACCCTAATGGTGGTTCCACTCAACATTTATCATTTTATTGGATGGAGATGATCCCAGCTGTGGTTTTCCATAGCCTATTGGATTTTAGTGTACTTTCCCTATGTGTGTGCTTGTTAGCAAGTTGATTTATGTGATTATTTTCATGACAAGTTCTTAAACTTACACGCAGAAAATATGTCAAGCGAGCAAAGGAGAGAGAACTATACATGCGACATTACTTATGTTACAAATAGTGAGCTTGGTTTTGATTATTTGAGGGATAATCTTGCCACGGTTAGTAAGATTTCACCATATTTATGCTTCTTAAAAAATTTGATTCTGACCTTTTCTCTATTGCAGTTTATTTCAAAAACTGGTCCATAGAACTAACTGTTTACTTTTGTTGTCGACAGAGCGTCGATGAGCTCGTATTAAGGGGTTTTACTTATTGTGTAATTGATGAGGTAGACTCTATTCTTATCGATGAAGCCAGAACTCCTCTCATCATCTCAGGATCTGCAGAAAAACCTAGTGATAGGTATTATAAAGCAGCAAAGATGGCAGCAGCTTTTGTGCGGGACATACACTACACTGTAAGAAGTAAAACTATCAGAAATAATTATTTCTTAAAAAATAAGCATTGTCATTTGATGAAATGACTAGTATGATCATGAGTGGAATCCACTAGAATAGGACATGACCCCAAATGGTCTCATCCAGTTTCAGTCATCATTAATCATTTCATTGGATGGTGATGATCCCAATGGACTATGTGTCCATTGGAATACTTCCTCGTTTGCTAAGGCCGCCAACATATTTGCGCTAATCCTGAAAGCTGTTTTCAGGTCGATGAGAAGCAGAAAACAGTGTTACTTACTGAACAAGGTTATGAGGATTCTGAAGAAATTTTGGGTGTAAAAGATCTATATGACCCTCGGGAGCAATGGGCATCATATGTATTGAATGCGATTAAAGCAAAGGAACTCTTTTTGAGAGACGTAAACTACATTGTTCGTGCAAAGGATGTTCTCATTGTAGACGAGTTTACTGGCCGTGTGATGCAGGTAATGACCGTTCTCCTTCTGCTGGCCTTAATGAAGTGATCGTTGTGTATATACATGGTTATTCATGTGCACATATCTATGCAGTTAACCTTGTTCAGTTTGGTTCCCTTAGGCTGGTAGGAGGGGCTAGATTATTATTACTAGTACTATTACTATCATCATCATTATCGTTGTTGTTGTTGTTATTATTATTATTACTACTACTACTAGTACTTTTACTGTTATCATCATCATCATCATCATTATCATCATTATCATTATTATCACTAGTAGTGTTATATCGGGAGGGAGGGAAGGAGACAAATATGAGCCCCTCCTCATTTATCTTGACCCAACACATCTTCAATCTTTTGTAAACATGACTGTGAGATATAAGATGAGCTCTTCTGATTTATAACCAATACTTTGATTAAGTTTATTGATTAGGTTGACTAAATTGTGTTAAGTGTGCGAAGCATTTTCAGCAGTTCATTGTAATATGCTAAGGCATTCATCTAGATCAGCTAAACTTGTTTGTCACTAGGTAATTATACTCAAAACTGCTTTTCTTGCTTTCTGCATTCTTCCCTTGTTTGGGGGGTTGTATGGTCCTTGCTTTGTGTATTCTTTTTTGTTGTTTCATATATCCTCCACCGCTAACCTAATATTTGTGCATGCCATGCTTCACTTCATTATTCTCTTTTTCTCATAATAATCGTGCCAATTTTTTTCTCTCCTCTAAATTGTTGACTCCTGCTTTTTCTGGTTCTTGTCATATTTTGTGGCAGGGTAGACGATGGAGTGATGGACTTCACCAAGCAGTTGAAGCTAAAGAAGGTTTGCCAATTCAAAATGAGACCATTACGCTAGCTTCAATCAGCTATCAAAACTTTTTCCTTCAGGCAAGAAGTTTACCTCCAAATCACCTGCTTAATTTTATCATATTGAAATGGAATTGCCTGAAACACCTGCATATGATATTCAGGTGCCCCAGTAATGCATAAGTATAAGTAAGCACTTAGAATTTGACTATTCTGCCCTCCCCTGTCCTGTATTTGAAGCCATAGACCAAAATTCTTTTAAGGAAATCTATACCCAAGCACTGGACCAAGGAGGGCAAAAGTTAAGTCACAGTTTCCATATAGTCCAGCTTTTTGTGCTCCCCATTCCTTTGTTTGGACTTTATATAACTGAAGAGGGCACAGTTGAGAATGAGGAGATTTTAACACATCAGAGTGTCTACTTATAAGTACGGACTTCTAGGGCATTTGCAGGTGCCTAGGCATTGTCCCATAATGTTCATAATCAGAAGATTGATATTGCTATTTTCATTTTCACGTCATTGATGTGTTGTTTACAATTTTGAATTTTCACAGTTCCCTAAACTTTGTGGTATGACGGGCACTGCAGCCACTGAAAGCACAGAGTTCGAGAGTATATACAAACTGAAAGTCACGATTGTGCCTACAAACAAGCCCATGATTAGAAAGGTCTCCAATGACTAGCTGTCTATGTGAATATCTTTAAAATTTATTTGGCACTGTGCCTTTTCTTCATGGATGAATTGCATTAGAAAAGCTTTGCATGAAGTCTCTTTTTAATTATGTACCTTGTGAAATAAAGGAATTTGACAATGTCTTGCTAGTCCTAACCCTTACACGCTTGCACTGCCTTTTCTAGGATGAATCTGATGTAGTTTTTAGAGCAGCTACTGGTAAATGGGCCGCTGTTGTTGTTGAGATATCCAGAATGCATAAGACAGGTCGCCCTGTACTTGTTGGCACAACCAGTGTTGAGCAAAGTGATGCGTTATCTGAGCAGTTGAAAGAAGCAGGAATTCCTCATGAGGTGAGAAGTTGATTAGTTTTGTATGCATAGTTACAACCTGCTCAATGTTGTTAGTGGGTATGCTTGCTACCCTATGATCAAAATAGCTTTTGGATCTTAGAATCTTGAAAGTCTATAAAGAGAAAATAATTATCAATTGACTGAGCAAAATAAGAAAACTAAATTCATAAAAATTTGAAAATGTAGGATATGCACTGGTCAGTCCAAGCCAAACCTGTTTGGACTGAGCTGGCTCTCCTCTCAGAATTATCGAGATGTCATTATAGTTTTGAACACCATTTCAATGGAATGCACATGAAATTTCTTATAGTTGTGAGGTTACTATAGGTGAACTCTATATTTTGTGGTGAGTGTTCCATGTAAGAGTCGTGAAAGCAGTAGTAATATACTTTTCCTCAGTAACCAATAAAAGACAAAATCCTTGAAAAGTCATATTTTTCCATTTTATTGCTTTATTTATCCTTATTTGGGGGCCTCTTTGCAATTTTTCATTCTGGTTCCTTATGTGCTACCTGTTGATGAACCTAACAATTTTCTTTTATTTCTAAAAAATTAATGTTATGGATTGTTAGGTACTAAATGCAAAACCAGAAAATGTAGAGAGAGAAGCTGAAATTGTAGGCCAAAGTGGTCGTCTTGGGGCTGTTACCATTGCCACAAACATGGCTGGTCGTGGAACAGATATCATCCTAGGAGGTAATGCAGAGTTTATGGCAAGGTTAAAGCTACGAGAAATTCTTATGCCAAGGTATCCCATGACTCTTTTATGATAGTTTGACTTTAATTTTCACGTCCATTTGTTCGTGCTGTTATATATCCATAATTTTCACATAAGGAAAAATATGAATAAAAAGGATGCCATATATGCATGTTCTGACAATATCTCACTCTTTCGCAAATGATCCTCTTATACAATTAAATCTTTTTCATTCTGGTCATGTCAGAAACCACAGATTTCTACCATTTAATTTTGTAATTTAGAGCACGATTCCATTCTGCAATCATATATCTTGGCAAAAAGTTGATATCTAAACAGCATAGCTATGGAATGAGGAGCTCTTATGTATCCCTGAAATCTCTATCTGTCCTTTTTATGAGTTATTTTCTTCACATTTTCCTGTGTGTGGAATCATTGTTTGGGCATACTTTAGTCTTACAATGTTTATAATGAACAAATTATTGGATGATGTTATAGAATTAAGATAGTGTTTGAATACCATCCTTTATGGCTAATGAATCTCTGGCAAGTGATATTGTAGTCAAACCTATAGAGTTGGTTGGCAAAAGACTTCATTCTTTTTTGAGAACGGTTAAATGCATTCTAGACCAGAACATCACATCATTACTTTTCAGAAGCAACCATTGTTTTTGAAGAAGATTCTACTTCTATAATTTCTTCAAGCTTGTGATTCTAGTTGAATTGCTGAATTTTAATCTTTAAGCATGTTAACGGATGTTTCTTTTTACTATTTCTAAGATGACATGAATACTACAGAGTTGTTAAGCCCAATGATGGAGAGTACGTTTCTATAAAGAAGGCACCTCCAAAGAAGACCTGGAAGGTAGGAACAAAGTTTTTTTCGAAAATTAGTAAACCAAATATGTTGGTCCAATAGGAAATAAGATTGCAGAGAATTCAATTTTGTAATTATTTTGACCCCTTAACTGTGATAATTTCAGGTGAACAAAAGTTTATTCCCATGTGAACTTTCTAAAGAAAAGATTTCACTGGCTGAGGATGCAGTGGCATTAGCTGTGCAAACATGGGGTAAAAGATCACTGACTGAGCTTGAAGCAGAGGAGCGTCTTTCTTATTCGTGCGAAAAGGTGAACTTGGTCCTTTCCTTCCATAGAGTAAATCCTATCCTTCTGGCTTCTGAGTTAAACTTATGACTTCTTGACCCAGTTTCAAAACCTTAATATCTGTTAAATTAACTAGCACCTACTGTTTTGAGGAGTATGGACCTGCATTGAGGTTACATGTGCTTGATTTTTTTGCGTAAACTTCCTCTAAACTATACACTATATGAATAAATTATGGTTTCTGATCAAGTATAGGGTCCAACCCACGATACAGTGATATCAAAGTTGCGGAATGCTTTCCAAGAAATTGTTGAAGAATTTAAGATATATACTGAAGAAGAGCGGAAGAAGGTATTTCTCCTGGCAACCACTGAATATTAGAATTTATATGCATCATATTTTGAGTGTGTTTTGAGATTTATAGTGTTCAGTTTGTTATGACTGAAGTTCTCAACTGTGATTCTCCAGGTTGTATTAGCTGGTGGACTTCATGTGGTGGGAACAGAGCGCCATGAATCACGACGGATCGACAATCAGGTAACATCTGGGATTCTCTTTACCGTTGTCTATTTTTATATCAATATAGTGATAGATACATCATACACGGAAGTGTAAAATTTATTTATTGGCTTGTTATTGATCAAGCATGACAAATTGTTCATTATTCCACATTTACTTGGGGATGACCATAGCTTTTGCTCTGCAATGGTTCAAAGTTCTGATTGCCTTGATTTCCATGGTATTAACAGCTTCGTGGGCGAAGTGGAAGACAAGGGGATCCTGGAAGCTCAAGGTTTTTCCTTAGTCTTGAAGATAACATATTTCGAATATTTGGTGGTGACCGTATTCAGGTCTAGCTTGCTCTACCTGCTGAACTTTTCTCACGTCACAAATTTTTGGTTTTGCTAGACTTGGTACTGGGAAGTATGAGTAAGCTGTTTGGGGCGATTAGGGTCAGTTAAATGTGGGCTATGAAGCTTGAGCAGGAGCAACGTTCTACTAGCACACTATAACTTGGGAGAAATGTGCAGTTGTATCAATTTTTTTGTCTTTTAGCAAGCCTATGATAACTTGAAGATCTGTTAAAGTTCCAAAACATAGTTGTGGATTGTGTTAGCATGGTTTCCTTAAAAAATCTCTTAATGTTCTTAAGATCCACACCTCTGTTTAATAAAAAGTGCAGAAATTTTTGTGACCACTTAAAAACATACTCCCTGTTAAGTCTACTTCTTAAAGATATTGGTGTTGATATGGGGTGGAAGAAACAAATGAAAAACTGGTTGGTATTTAATTGTGAAACATGCATTGGTAAATAAAGAAAATAACTGTGCTGTTTCTCCACATTGATTTTGACTTGTCAATTTGTTCAAATTTACAGGGTTTGATGAGAGCTTTCAGGGTTGAGGACTTGCCAATTGAGTCCAAAATGCTGACAAAAGCTCTGGATGAGGCTCAGAGAAAGGTGGAGAACTACTTTTTTGACATCAGGAAGCAGCTATTTGAATATGATGAAGTCTTAAATAGCCAAAGAGATCGTGTATATACAGAGAGGAGGCGTGCCCTAGAATCTGATAATCTGCAATCCTTGCTTATTGAATATGCTGAGTTGACTATGGATGACATTTTAGAGGTGATGAAACTTAAGTAATCTAGTTGTTTTATTATCCTTAGACCATTATTTTGATGGACATTCCTGGAGATATTTGGTTCTCTTGGGTCTCGATTATCAGCTTCTCATTATATGCATCCCATTATGGGCTTCTGGAGTAAACTTTGTCGTTCTTCAGTGTTGATAAGATATTTTAATAGGAAGTTTTTGTGCTATCATGTCTCTTAATATAATAGTCTTTGTATTTGGCCAGGCAAATATTGGAGTTGATGCTCCTAAAGAGAGTTGGGATCTTGAGAAGCTAATTGCAAAGCTTCAGCAGTAAGAGAGTTTTCTTGTTTCTCGTGTAAAATCATAACATTATTATTGAAAGCATTATTCAAATTAGTAAGCTATATTCCTTTAATTACCTCAAAATGTTGAGTGTAGAATGGTTTTGGATTCTCAATTTTGCATAGCGAAGTTCTTGCCAAGATTTATTCTTAAATATAATGTAGATATAACAAAAATTATGGAATTTGTCCAATTTTAGATTTGAATTTTTGTTCTGTAATGGAAAGAATAGCAAAAGAATTCATTCTGAATTTTGTGCTCTTTCTTCTATGCTACTATTTGGATGAGTTTCATTACTAACATATAATGTAAAATTGTCTTAGTTTGGAAAAAATGGCAAAAAAAACTCCATGATTTTTGGTTTTTGGTACTATACAGCCTTATTATTTTGCTTTGGTCTCATGCCACTGATTCTTTTTCTTATTATTGTTTTATCGGTAACTGATTATTTTGGGATGTTAATTCAATCCCTAACCACATTGATGGAAAGAAGAAAAGACAATATACCTGTATAGGTCATACATATAAAGAATAGCAAAGTAATGGAGTACACAATTTTGGCAGCTTATATAAAATTTGATTTTCACAGGTATTGCTACTTATTAAATGATTTGACTTCTGAACTGCTGGAGAGTAAATGTACAAATTATGCGAGCCTGCAGGAATACCTCCACTACCGTGGACGTGAAGCATATTTGCAGAAACGGGTCAGTATTTTTTGTGGTATTCTACAGATTTTGTGGAAAAAAAAGGAGGAAAAGTATACAATAATCCGATGGACCATGGATCACCCATAGTTCCTTGGATCATCACTGTGCATTGAGACGGTGGCATTTAGACAGTGAGACCCATGTTTGGGGAGTTGTCCTCCTTGGGTTGTTGCCATTCTCTCTCCATCACCATCCATTTCAATGGACAGTCTTCAACCAGTGGATTGTGGTTCAGTTGGATTGAATATACTCTCCCCAAAGTGAAAGACGTGTTTAATGTGTTTATGTGCAATTTTCTTTGCAAGTACGTACTTCCATAGAAAATCCATTGTGAAAGAAAAGCATCAAAGAAGAAAGTTTGAGATTATTAATTAAAAAGACATGCTGATATAAAAAAAGATGAAAAGAATGCCTTGATATTCATTATTTATTGAAATTAATTCTGAATCTTATTTGAAATGTTCATTATCATCAGAGCCTTTATCCAACTATTTGGGGTCTGCTACATGAATCCTGGTCCGTTATTCTCTTCTATTAAAGGTCATACTCTTAGTGAGGCCATAAGTCTCGATATCTTTTCCCACAACTTCTAACCGTGCCTTTTTGGGCTTACCCCTTACCGTTTTTTTAACCTTCCACTTGAACCAAGTCACACCTCCTAACAGGTGTTGTATTGGGTCTATTGTACATAGCTATCTCACCTAAGTCTAGTTCTCTTTTCTTATTGCCTATTGGAGCTGCACCTAAGTTCTTCCAAATGTATTTATTTTGAATTACATCCCTTCTTGTCTTGCTATTCATCCATCTCAACATCTTCATCTCAACTACATTCTTACTATTATGTGAAGAGTTATTCATCATTAAGTGACAAACACCTCTCCCTCTGTCTCGAAGAACCTGGGGCCCATTATCGTTTTTCTTGAGATTTATCACATCCATGCAATTTACCTGCGCTTTTTTTTAGCTTTTACTTTTTGGCACATATGAGATTTTCTTGAAACCTATATGTAGGATTTGGTTGAGAAGAAAGCACCAGGGTTGATGAAGGAAGCCGAGAAGTTCTTGGTGCTTAGCAACATAGATAGGCTGTGGAAGGAGCACTTGCAAGCCCTCAAATTTGTGCAGCAGGCTGTTGGGTTGCGTGGATATGCACAACGAGACCCGCTTATCGAGTACAAGCTAGAAGGCTATAATCTCTTCTTGGATATGATGGCACAAATAAGAAGGAATGTTATATATGCTGTGTACCAGGTTTGTTTAGCGCCCCCCCCCCTCCGTTTTTTTGCCCTTTCCCTTCCTAAGTGATTCTATTAACCCATTTCTTGTGCTTCTAATCCCTTGATTATATCATCGCCAACACAGTCATCATCATTGCCATCATTTTTACCATTAAGTCATTATTTCCATTATTTACAAGGAATTTCCATTAGTAATAAGGAAGCCAGAAATGAGCAGACCTTGAATCTAGACGGATTCCATTTGGGTCGGTCCTTGGTATATTACTACTAGTATCTGTTGAGTGAATAATTGCTCATTTTCGAAACCATTAGAATTTGTGTTAGATTAATCTACCGAGAAAATTACTCAGAACCATTGGAAATTTCCTTACAATGACAAATGTGTTACCCTTGGCAGTTCCAACCAGTGATGGTCAAGGAGAACCGCAACAACGAAAATTCTGAGCAAGGCAAGCCAAGCAATGGTAGAGATGGTAAGGAGAAATCAGGCCAAAAAGTGCGTGAAAGAAGGGGAAATGATAATGATCTTGACACTGTTAGCACTGCAAAGGCCTCCTCCGCCTAACAAGGGAGACTGAATCTGTACTCATGTATTATAAGATTTTGGGGCTTGCCTTTGTTTTGTATGATTGGAAAGGGTGTAAACGTGTTGTATCATATGATTTTGAGCATGCTTCAATTGTGCATAAATTAGAAAATGGGAAAAAAGTTTAAATATCTAGGGCACATTTAGCAATGTACAAATACTTGCAAAAGTATCTTCACATGAAAAACTCCCATGCAATTAGGTGAATTTTTTTTACATGAATTAGCTGTCAATCAGTGTGAAGAAATTCCATGTGATTAGGTGGATCTTTTTTACACTAATTAGCGACCAGTGTGAAAAAGTGTGATGAGACTTTATTGGTATGAAAAAATAATACATTATATATATATATATATATATATATATATATGAAGCTCGAAAATACTTTTATAAAAATATTTTTATATGTACCAAACGTAACTTTGAAAGAGACTTGTCTATCACTTATCTCAAAATTTGTGGATTAATTTTGGGGTTTACTTCCATAGTGGGTACCTTCTATCTGGGTTGATTCTAAACAATCAAATTAACCCATGTAATAGGCAGTTGCAACATGTTGAGCCTCTCTCTCTCTCGCGCGCACACACAAGGATCATGATTGTGGAATGTGACACTATTCCCACCTTAATCTAATGGAGAAGATTTTGGCATGTTTGGAGACTCATGCATCTGTCCCCATTTTAAAGGATTTAAGACTCAAAAATGCATTCCAAGTCTTGTCCCTTTTGGCTCGAGTATCATGCTTTTGGAACTCCAAAAATACTTAACGGACGGTCCAAAAGATATCAGATTCAAGAATTATTTATTTTTAATAGATTCACAATCTTTGATGGTCAATGCATCTTCAAGATTGATTTTAGATTCACAATCTTGGCTGTCAAATGCATCTTCAAGATTGATTTTTTAAGGGTGGATGCACTACAATTGGTAGATCCTTGATGCAGCCATGCCCTACCCATCCCAATCTGATTTGTGCACTTGAATTAGAAGGTCGCAACACAACTAAGTTAACTACCCCTTTTTCCAATATCTTGCTGCAGCCAACTATGAGCATTTTCCAACTGAGCATTCTCGTGCTCATTCTTTGCAATTTTGCGTACACTTTTCTCTTTTCTTTTCAAAATGCGTAGCATTGTGCATAATCTGAGATCAGGGAGGAAAAATATAATAGGATCCATATGGTCAGTAACAACAATCATCGATGGACTTTGTCACTATCCGATCAATTGGTTGGGCAATAATGTAGAGAAAGCAGATATGCTGTTAATTGACTGTGGAACCCACTTACCCCAGCACTGTCGAACCCACAAATGCAATGGCAGTAATCACTAGGTCATGAAGATTCCATGACCATATCACAGTGGCTCAAGAGAGATTCATCCCATATTTGGGCCTTTACCATTTATGTACACTTTCTTTCCTTTTGTAATAGCAAAATTCTTTTGTGCTGAATTTAACCTGTTTGTCCAAAATTTTCTTGTTTCTCATGTTCTTTTCATCCATGACAATTTCAAGCTACAGCAATCAAATTCTCACATAAATCTTTTGTAGGCCCTAATTCTACAGCCATTGAATCTATAATTTCTGTGATAACCATATTTATCCCAGTTCCTCGCACCTAGACAATGACAATGCATGACAAAGTCAACATCAACAATAATAATAAAGCAATTAATGACAAAGGAGTGGAAAGAAAACCTTTACTCCAATGGCTACTGCTGTTTTCAGGTTGACTAGCTTGCCTAGTTGCAAAGAGCCGGCCTTTCGATCTCTCACAAATAAAAGAGGAACCCCCCGGCTGGAAGCCAACTTCGGAAAGTGTGCAGTCAGCCACCGTGGGTTGCAATCCCATGCTACCAGAACAGCCTACAATTTATGCAAAACCAATGTTATCAAGTTTGCTTTAGAAGGTTCTTTGTCTTAAAAAGGGAAGTACTTGAGCACTTAGGCCGATTACTGGAAGTATCAGGGTGCACTTCATAAAGTAAGAAACTTTCAAAAACATATGTACTGTACTAGAAGGCAATTTTAAAATAAGTTAATGTACAAGGTATATCATCCAAGTTCTGAATAAGACAGGTAATTCGACAAAATTTAAATATTGTAAATGTATGTCACCAAATTTTGACCTTTCAGCAGCATATGTGTGGTTTGCATAAGGTTGCAATCTTAAACAATCAAATTAAGGTGCACCTCTAAATTTTATTATAAGATTTAATTTTGGTGCCAAAACTTCTTAGCATAACTTTAAAATAAACTCCAAAATGATTCAAATCAAGTAGATCTATAAACACATGAAAATCTTGAAAATGGACAGTCCAGATAATTTGTTGCAAGATGCACTGTTTTTAAACTCGAAATCTATAATTTTTTTCATATCCGTACATTTTGATGTCAAGATGATCAATTAGATGTCAAAACAACCCTTTCTGAAGGAATTTTGAGGTGCACGTTAATTCTACATTTTAAGGTTGCATCCTTATATGAACTTTTTCCTTTTAGAAATGGGTGCGGTTTGTATAGAGCCTAGGCTCTAAACAATCATATTAGAGCCTACCTTCAAATAGTGTCGAGAAATGTGGTTTCAATACTGGAAATCTTTGTGACAGCCTTAAAATATATTTTCATCTTTATTTATAAATTTTAAAGCTTCAAAAATAGTGTAGATCGATAGATCTATGAAAACTTGAAAATTGACACCAAAAAATGCATTACAAAATACATTATTTCCAAAACTTGAAATCCATTTTTTTCTCATGTCCATGCATCTTGATGTCAGGATGATCAATTTGAGAATATTTGGGTATCAAAACAACCTCTTCTAGTGAAATTTTTTAGGTAGGCTCTAATTTGATTGTTTAGAGCCTCGGCTCTATATAAACTTTTCCTTTTAGAAATTAATACCGATATATTGAAATATACCAAGAATTGTTTAGCATCGTGGTGGTTTGGATGTAAAACCCAAATACTTCAGCCAAAGTGAAACAAATCTGATAAGACTTGCATGAAACCATTGAATTTTGAATGTCAAAAAGATTAACTTTTGGGAAACAACCCTTTTTTACTAAAAATTCAATCAAAGAAAGGGGAAAGAAACAAGTGCAGTCCTTTCATAATGGATTACAAAGAAAGCCTTGTCAGAGGCTGACATGATGAAGATACAACACTTGAGTATCAAACCTACCAGGCAATAAAAGGGAACAAACTGAAAATCATTAATCTGATTGGCACAACCATGTTCCTTGTGGATTTCATGAGTGAAACTAAACTGAAGTAAAGATGGCAGCTAACCTGAAGCTGGATAGCAGGTGCTTTCTGATCATTGGAGGCGATGGAAGATTCCAGGGTGCTTCTCTCAGCATTAGCTCTGGGCATTCTCTCCAAGGTACGTGTAACATCATTCACACCAATAGCAAATTGTTCCTAAAACACATCATAGCCATATTTTGATCATTCAAAAGACAACCCAAAATCCAACTAATTATCAAAACAAGAAGTCAATTCAATGAAGGGACAAGCATCCTCTATATCCTAAATCTAAATCATATCATCTAATATTATCAATCATACTAACACACATGGATCAGAGTCACCTCTCAAATAACATGATCTATAATTTTAAACTAGGACTTGGAATGGGACTTTGCCGAATCCTAGAATCGACTCAACTGAGTCACAATAAAACTCATCCAAGTATATTAAAAAATAGGATATAATGAGTAGATTCAGGCAAGCGCAGCGATAAATTACAAGACTTCTAGGGTTTTCAAGACAACTCAAATCAACTAAGTCCAATTCAAATCAACTAAGTCCCAAGTTACCTCATTGAGTTTTAGAACATTGCCCATGACTATAGGAGGAAAGGTGCCATAAATTTATGATGGTGTTATAGACTGCACATTTCCAACAATGTTTCACATGCCACAGTTTAACAACTGATGTGCAAAAAATTAACACTTGAGGCTTGGGCAAATGCCTCACTTACATGCATCACATTTTCCCTCTATGATACCTGTTGAGATGCACACAAGCAACGAATTTACTTGGAAACCCAAAAACTCAAAAAAATACTCACTTTCATCCATAATTTGTCAGGTAATGTTCCCTTTGTAAGCTTAGCAGATTCTATTCCTCTGCCATATAGAGAAGATTAGACATAAAACAGTAGACTTTTTGAAATGAATACTGGAACAAAAAAAAATATGCACAAAAAATTCAAACTCAGTCAATAGTGAGGTAAAAGATTGAGAAACCCATCTAAACTGAAAAATTAACTTTGAAGATTCTATTCATGACTCAAAATAAAAGGGAAAAGGTGCAATAAAGAACATTCATCCTTCTAAAAACTTCTCATCCTTCAAATTTCGTGTCACAAGTTTCATATAGCAAACTCAAATTCACACAAAAAAGTAGAAGGCAACAGCAAAACCCTTATAATATCCCGAGAACAGGTGCTTAACCACTTAAAGCACATGGATGAGAGCACGTGGAAGGGACTGGAGAATAAGAAAACTTATTTTTCTCACTCACCTTTTGAGTCTCGTAAGCAAATCCTTCAGAGGTTTTCCTTGAAAGTTATACGTCCCTGGCTGGTGGAATTGGTCCTGAAGAACATCCCTTGAACCAGATAAGAGAAAAGGAAAGCACAAGTTAAACAGTGACAAAACCAATTAATCAATTTCAAGTAACGAAGATCGTCATAAAATATTGTCATAGGTTTCATTTTTATTTCATATCCCACCTTTTTTTTATGGTGATTTTATTTGTTCTTTTGAATGACAAAGAAAAAATATGGACTACTAGAAATATGAAAAACCATCATGATATAAAAACTTTCCGGGACACAATCTTAGATAGTTGATGTTCAAAGTCCAAAGCCATTTCGGATAACAAAATGCCGCCAAAAACAATGCAGTTCAAGGGCATGGAGGTGAATGGTTGAGCTCCTTCAGATAACATGGATGGGCGGAATATTGTTTCTTAGAAAGATTTTATTGCCAAAAGATATGTCAAGGAAGTGGTACAACCATACAAGGGGCTTATCTAGTTTCCCGAGGAAGTAAAATGCAGGGTTTTGGATGGAATTGTTGTTTTGGAGTCTCCTGAATCTTTAAAAAACATTATTACTTTCTTAGGGCTTTTCATTTTTTTATTATTCATTTAGGGAATTGACATTGTCTTGATTGGTTAGGTATTGATGATTGCGACCCTACATCCAGGGTTCATATCCCATTACCTACGCCCCCCCAAAAAAAAAAATTTTCTTTTGGGTTCTCGTCCCGATATTTATTATAAATATCAAAATATTTACATGAAACAACCTACATAATATAAATATAGTATCTATGCAATTTATTTTTTATTTTTACTTTTTTTAATAGCTGACCCCAAATAGTTAGGAAAAGGCTCTAAGGATGATGATTTTTCTTTTGAATAAATAGTATCTACATATAATTATTTCTAGATGTATACTCTACAAATACCTTATTTAGCTTTGAGTCATACAATTTACCTTAGTAGTTCAATAGACTAGACATGAGTCAGCGTTCTATCGCCTGTTTCATATTGCATCATGCCCAAAGCTATCAACCAGCTGCAACATAGGAAACAAACTCGGGCGTACTTTAGGGCTCCACACCTTCAATGGGGACATGACCCATTATTGCACTTAGTTTTAGGATGTAATATTTAACTTGATGTTGTAGTCGCAAAACCTGACCCAAGTAGTTGGGATAAGGCTCAGATGATGATGATGTTATAGATGCATAGGAAGAAACGGCTGGAGAACTAATAAGCTCTATGCAATTCACCTTTTAGCATGTCCACAGAGATGTGAACATCGAAGCTGAATCCATTATTCCATTAGTATATACTCTATGTAGCATGCAGTTACGGAAATTCATAAGGTACCAAACAATATTATAATTCTATAATGTAGATAGTGCTTAAAACCCTTTTATTTTCCATAGTTCCTTAAGCTCTTCTTTCCTTTCCTACATTAAAACTACCCGGGTTTTCTAAAGAACTCCAATTCTAAATTTGAAAAGGGAGATTTATCAAAATACCCATAATGGATGAACTATTTAACAGCGTACCCATTTGCAACTATTCCAACTCCCAGCCCAAGATCATGTGTTTTTTATGGGTATTTTGAAATATAATCAGAAGTTATGAGTAAGATGTTAAATTGTTCCTCTCTCATGGATAATCTGATAAAATTCGCATTTAATAATAGCAAGTCAACAGCAAGAGAAGCATCGACCACTACAATACAGATACATTCATTTTGTTCTCGTGAGCTATAAACATCAAAGTGGCCCGTCTCTCATACCATTGGATAAAAAATCCAGGAACAATTACGATAATTGCTCCTAAGTGAGTAAGCGCTGAATGCTAAACATTAAAGTATAACTCATATAAGACTGCAATTTCGAAGAACACAAAGACATTAATACTGCTACACTTCGAAGGACGCAAAACTTTCCCAAAGCAAGTAAGATTGGAGAAGTCAGAAATGGAAGGATAACAGCAGCTGATCAGATAATCACTAAGAAACTAGAGAACTTATAATTAACAACAAAAAGAATGCTTGATTTAATTTCCAGATAAAATGAAGTATGCCTTACTAGATTTTCAGTGTTTCTGAAAGAAAATAACTATGCATAACTAACTCTACACGAAATGAAGAAGGAAAAAAATGAAGCTTATAATAGCAATCAGTCAAGAAACTAAAACACAATCCCCTGTAATACCAAAAATAATTCATTCTTTTTTAAATAAAGAAAGAAATCAAATCAATACATACATATCCAAGAAAAAACAAAATTCACCTAAACCACTAAGAGGAATAGAGATAAATAATGAACCATAAACCCTTGTTTATAAACCTTAAGCCGTAATTTACAATCGTAGCCACAAATTACTAGAAACAAACTTACACAATAATCCCTGAACCCTATACCAATTCAAACCTTAATATTTAAACCTAACCCTGAGTTCTGAAACGAGGTCCTAAACCAGAAACCCCAAACCTACACCATCCCGAAGCCCTCTATCTTGAAACCTCATTAAGAATTAATACCATAGAGAAAAAGGGAAGAAAATTGAAGGTCTTGTATTTTGAAACCTAATTAAGAATTAATACCATAGAGAAAAAGAGAAGAAAAGTGACGGTCGTGTATTGCTTACTGCTTGGCAGGCTTGGAGCTTGCTTTAGTGGACTTCTTCTTCTTCTTCGCCATTGTCTTCAACTTAAACCTCTGATATATGCTCTCTCTTTCAACTGAAACCTCTGATATATGCTCTCTCTCTATACAAATATTTTCAAGTTGAAGATCTGAAATTATACAGATGAGATGAAACTTTTCAATCTAAAATTCCATATATGTATAACGTCCAGCAAAAAACATGTGGATTCTAAATAAATAGCATGTAGGATGTTCGCGCCTCTTTCTCTCGCTTTTTAAAAGGGTGCGGTTTGTATAGGGCCGAGGCCCTTAACAATCAAAGTAAAGCGCACCTTCAAACAGTATCCAGAAATATGGTTTTAATTTTGAAAATCTTTGTGATAGCCTATGTTTCATATTTAATTATAAAATTTAAAGCTTCAAAAATAGTGTAGATCAGACAGATCTACAAAATTTAAAAATCTTGAAAATTAAAGTTCCATAAATGCATCACAAGATAAATTATTTTCAAAACTTGAAATTTATTTTTGGAAAAATATCATCGTAACCTATTTTTTGTTTTCATATCTCAATAGACCCAAAAATTTAAAATATATCTCCTAACCTCTTGACTAACTTTACCTACTTTCAATTATTTTTTTAGCCCCAATAAATATAAAAAAAAATGCTCATTCTAAATCCTTCATCTCTTTACGTGATATATTCCCTCCAAATTTTTCTCCCTAACCTTCACCCTCTTTGTCTCTCTAACGGTTGAAAGAAAGTGAGAGACACGGGAGAGCCCGAAATTCTCTCTCTAATATTCACCCTCTTTGTCTCTTTAATGGGGGAGAGAAAGTGAGAGACATGAGGGAGAGAAAGTGGAAAAATAGTTAAAAAGAGATTAAATAATGATATTTAGAAAGGATGTGCTTTTTTTTATATTTGTTTGAGGTAAAAAAATAGATTTAAAAGGGATAAAGTGAGCTTAAGGAGTTAAAAAGATATAAAACTTAGAATTTTGATAACCCAGTATATGTTTTGAAGATATAAAACTTAAAAATAGGGGTATAAAAATATTTTTCCTTTATTTTTTTTTCATGTCTATGCAATTTGATGTCAAGATATCGATTTGAGGATATTTGAACATCTAAATGTCATTTAGTGAAATTTTTGAGATTCACTCTAATTTGATTGTTTAGAGGGTGTGCTCTATATAAACATTTTCCAGTCTTAAACGAGTAGTAGTCTTGAGTTGAGTTGGGTTTTGAGGGACGAAGAACCTTTGCGGCGCCAAAGGTATGAAACATTAAGATAGATGTAGAGGTGTGCCCCATCTTAAGAATGAATAGTTGGATTAGATATAAAATATACAATAGATGGTACATATAAATAGCATGGACATTCATGTAAATAAACACATTTATATAACCTGAGAATTCACTGTTATCGTGGAATGATCACGTGTTTTTACAATACGTGTTTTTACAATGGGCGATCAGGTATGTATGACATTATTATATTATTTTAATAGAAAAACATGCAAAAAATGACTACACAATGTGTCTAAGTTTCAATCGTTAAAAGATATTATAAAATAATAGAAGAGTGAAGGATTATTCAAAGAAAATAGCACTTCCATGAATGAAATATTGAGTAGTTCTTATGGTAATATTATGCAATAATATAATATGTGGACATGGTAAAAATTAATATGAATGTGAGATTAGGTATGTATGCATTATTATATCATTTTAATAGAGAACTATGCAACAAATGACTACATGATGTGTATAATTTTTAATTGTTAAAATATATTATAAAATAATAAAAGTCTAAAGAAATATTCGTAAGGAATAGCACTTCCATGAATGAAATATGGGTAGTTCTGGATAGGTACGATAATATGACAGCTATGATAATATTATGCAAGAATATAATTTGTGGACATGGTAAGAATCAATATGCTCATTTTAAAGGTGTATGTGAATTTACATTAAATTGACTATAGAGATATTAAAAAAAAATGTTGAGAGCTTGCGACCTATGCTACCCCAATGTGGTTGTTTTAAAACTGTGTGATGTTACATTGCATTGAAAAGTAGAGATCGTAAAAATAAAATAATATACATATATATAACTCATTAAGCGTATAATAGATTTCACAGCCATCCTGCGCGTAATAGATTTCACGTATTTTGTGGAAATCTTATGTAATTTATTTTTATTTTTTTAAATTGAAGTGTACCCAAACATGATAAATTTCATATTTGCTTGTAATATGTTTCCCCATTATAGATTTTCAGGTGCTAAAAAGGCCCACTACTATTCAAGAATCCTATGGAAATCTCCATTCCAACACAAATGTCAATTCTAAATGAAGCAAACACAATTGCTCGGCCTTTTTCAGAAAAAGTGACTCCAAAAACTCTATATCCATTGATCCAAACAGGCCCTAGAAAATCATGCTTTCAAATGTCCACAGTATAAGGCGCGGAGCTAGAATAGTTTTGGGTTTGATACTTATGTCTCATTGGAGAAAGGGCAATGGAGGAGGAATAAATGATTAACAATCTCTTATTCGCACTTGCACGATAGATTTATCCATACCCTGTTACATTCAGCATGCCCCACGTTTGTAAAGAAAATAGTCTCAGTGTTTGCATTTCCCTTTTGTAAATTGTCAATGGTAAGGGATCGCCAGCAAAGTAAAGGCTTGACACTTCTGAGCTGTTTGGAAGGTCCAGAATTTAAGTGCTGCATGCTGCATCCTATATTGGTGTGGTAGTTTGGAGGCTGATTTGATTAAGTTTTACGACATTTGCAGAGTCTCCCTCCATTGAAGGGCCCAGAACTCCAATAATTTGGTGTAAAATATAGGGGATGGGTGTATTATAATTTGGTGTAAACTAGAGGGGATGGGTGTATTATTTCTCTTGCTCAGATTTTGAGTTGAATGTTCTTAAACTTCAGGTGCTGCAATGGCCAACTGCTTGATTTCATAGGGTACAGAAGAGTGATTGGAACTTTGCATTTTAAAAGTAAATGGTCTTATTTCATACTTCACCGGTGCGAAAAAGTTACGAAAATAACTTGGGTATCAAAATTTGAATACTTTCTCCTGGTTAGAAATCAATTGAGGAAACACAAATTTGCCAATTTTTTCTTGAACAATTGTAGTTATCTCATGGAACATTTGCTTTTTATTATTCAGGCTTGTAAACTAATGATGCATAAGTATGGTAGAAGAGATCCCAACAAGTTGTCCAAGTAATTATCCCACTCCATTGCCATTTGCTTTGCCATAACAGGGTCAAATGGTTCAAAATCAGCTTTACTATATGCTATAGATTAAGCAATCAGAAGCATCCATTCAGGGTATGCAAATCTCCCTCTCTCTCTCTCTCTTTCTCATAATTTGCCATCATGTAAAACACCCTTATGCCCATATAGCTGGACATGGGGTGGGTGGTTCCAAACATGATGCCCCATTATAATGAAGTTAGTGACATTTGGATTACTTTTTGAGTGTTTTGCTTGCACTGCATCTCCCATGGGTTCTCTCTTTGTCATGCTCCAAGATCTATAAAAAATTCTGATTTTAGAGGGAGCCTGCACGGGAATATTATGAGTCGGGGGACTCATAAAACTGAGTCTTAGAATGGTTACTTTGTATGTTTCAATCTCACGTATGTATCTCCTCAAAAGGAGTTATCATCATTTAGCTTGGACTACTTGAGTGGAGGAATTTGCTTAAACAATTTCAAATTTTAAACTATTTTAAAAAGATGTTCTTGAGTAAAAAGAAAATTTTTAGGTAATGATCTTAGTGTGAAACAGATAATTTGACTCGATACTTTTAGCCTTATATGCATAAGGCGCCCCACCATATATTGTCAAAGTAAGGTGCATTTTTAAGCTATGTATTTGTATCTATACATCTCGGGGTTGATCAATTAAAAGATTTTTCAATTTAAAAACAACCTTTTTCCATATGTTTTTCTTTTAAGTGCACGTTACTTCTACAGTATTAAGGGTGACACATTTTCCCATTTGTTGGTTTGACCATTTACTAATATTTTCGATATCTTCCCCATTAATAAAACCCCACTCTGGATTGCCTTTGCCTCACAAAATCCAAGTACTACCTCAGCAGTTTCTTTTTTGCCTTTTTTTCTCTCTTTGAATCCTTGATCCTCGAATAAAGAGAAATAATTGCTCAAATTCCAAGGACAATAGAACTAAATGTACCTAGGACGTCTTTATGTAGGCTAATGTGATTTAATGTTAAAAAAAAAAAGGTAGACTAAATTAACTTACCTTGGGATATGAGCTACATGTGAAATTGTACTACCATTCTTACATGAGAGAGAATAGGACAATGCTTTAAAAAGTATTGTGCTATAAACTTATTTGATAGGTTTGATTTGGATCTGCCATTTTAAAGATTTTAATATGTAATAGTATTAATTATTGAGTTTTAAATTTTGTATTAAGACTTAGCATTGGATCCATTTGACACGCGGGAGAAAAAAAACATCAAGTAACCAGTCCCTAATTTAATATGATTTTATATGTATATAATATGGTTTGGAAAATAAAGAACACTGTGGGGCTTACTTTAGTGACATATAAAGGAACCAATCATTTTCTTTTTTTTGGGTTTTGCTTTTTAATTAAGACAGTTTACGGGGTGTGCATTACAACAATGATGTAGTTTACATGAAATGCATTATTCGAGATATCTACTTTTAATTTTTTTTTATTTGAAGAAAATATTTTCATACCTCTATTAAAATAAGTAAAGCCTCAAATCCTGCAAATCGATCACCTCGGCCTTGACCATTATGGTTGTGGAAAAACATTAGAATTTCAAAACTTTAAAAATAGTATTACAACATATTATCTAGACCGTCCATTTCACCCTTAAAATAAGTATTCACAGATCCGTAAAATCAATGATCTTTCTTTAGCTTTAAATTTCATTTTTAGTATTAGAAATTGATTTTATAACCATCATGGAGATTTTCAATGTCTTAAGTGCTTTTTAGACGAGAATTCCTTTACTTTGGTTTTCTTAAGCTTTATAAAAACTGCATCTTTTATTTAATTAGTAAGTAAATGTATTTTATAACAAATTTACAAGCATTAACCATAGTTGGTCAATTTCTAGAATTCTCACTCTCATGCTTAATTTTTCTTAAATCATTTTGCTTTTTTATACTTTCCCAATATTAGTAACTATTTTGTTGAGACAATTATTATTGTTTTAATAATTGATAAAATGTCCTTCTTTTGCTAGGGATTTCTATTTTGATAGGGTTTAGAAGAAATTAGAGGGATAACCAAAAAAAAAACTAGATTTGATTGAAACTCTAGTAATTTAGAGATAGAATTTTCATAGGAAAAATATGAAAAATCGAAACACACGCTCTTATTTCTTTTCCCTTAAAGATACAGATAGTGGGATTGTATATTATGTGACTATTTACTATTGTTACAAAGAGGTCACAATCAATCTTAACCATTAGATATCACACTGGATGGTTTAAAGTATATGCTATGAAATTTGAAAATTTTTATTTTAAATTTTGAGTCTAGTCAATGATGTACTTACAATCACCTAATTTGATAAGAGTGATTGTGACCTCTTTATACTGAAAATAAATTATATCTTTTACATACTTTTTCACAGATAAAAATTTGTCGGTTGATGTACAAAATGTAAGACGACAAAAAAAAAATGCACACACTCATACACGCAAGCACAACTAAGAGATGTGAGCTGGAAGGGAGAGGAGAGAGTTATAGAAAGATATAGAGTTAGTTTGGGTTTAAAAAAATCTTAGAGAGGGAGAGTTAGTTTAGGTTAGAGAGTTTTTAGAGAGAGAGAGGGAGAGAGAATATATGAGTTCAATAGTTGTTAGTATTTTGTGAAAGATGACACTTTACTTTCGCCCTTTTCATGTGATACCTAGTCATAGGCACTGTTTGGGAGTTTTTGCAGTTGGTTTGTTAATGAATCTACTTTTACATATCACTACAAAGTTTGTTGGGGGTATTTATTTTACAGATTTGTTTCTTCTGTGGACCCATTTTATGTGAGGACGTAAAAAGGTCAACTTATGGAGACTTGACAAACTGTCTCCTTGTCCCACCTCCTCTTTTACTTGCCTTTGCCTTTGCCTTTATAGGGGCTGACTTTACCCATTTAACCAAAAATAAATAGCAAAAATATCCTCCTACTGTATTTGGCCTCCTTTGTATCGTTATTTCTAAATGGCGAAAATGCCCTGCCCTCATTTAGGAACTAATATTTGGGCTCAACTGCTTACCTGACTTTTAGCAGCACTTAATCTAAAGTTTAATTAGCTGAACTACTGAAAAAAAAAAAAAAAAAAGGAACTTCATTTAAGGGCAAATTTTTTGCATATCTCTTAATTCACACATATAATTCAAATGTGCTAAGAATATCCAACTATCCAATCATTATCAAATGACTGTGAGTCTCCAAACACATAAAATTATATATATTTAAAGATATTTGTAATGGTTCCCTTTGGTTATTGAATGAATTTGATATGGTTTACAAGTGCACTATTCTTCCTCACTTAGAGGTGTCCAAATTGTTTTATCCAAAATGACCTTAGTAGTAATTTGGTGGTAATTTGGATTTTTCCTAGTTGATTTTTCTTACTATTTTATGGAATAAGATGGTAATAAACACCCTAGTGACAATTATTATTGTTGGAATATTATTTGTGGGATATATATACATATGGTGTGGTTTCTATAGGGAAAAGTTTATATAAGGTTGCAACCTTAAAATGTAGAATTACATATGCACCTAAAAAATCTATCGAAAACGTTGTTTTAGTGTTGAAAAGCCCTCTAATTGATCATCTCGACTTCGAGACGTATGAATATTAAAAAAAAAAAAAAGAAGTTTTTGAGTCCCAAAAGTAGTGCATCTTGCAACATATTATCTAAAATCGTCAATTTTCAAGATTTTCACATGTTTATAGATCAACATGATTTTAACCCTTTTTTGAGTTTAAAATTTTATAATTACATATGAAAATACATTTTTAGATAATCTTAAGAATTTTTTACACCAAAATTACATGTTATAATAAAATTTGGAGGTGTGCCTTAATTGGATTGTTTAAGGTTGCAACCTTATTGAAACCGCACTGTGTGTGTCAATTTTGAGATTCTAAAAAATATCAAAATAACATATTTTTACAATTTATTAGAAAAACATTGTTCTATTATCATTTGTAAATATGATCACAGTAAAACATATAAATATCTCCTTGGGGAGCACCCCATATTTTTTTTTAAAATTAAGTGGGTTTATTGTCCTTATGATATTTTATTCATAGATTGGAAGATTCATATAGGTCAAATTACGCACCTACTGGTCAGTCCAGGGATCCCAAAGTTGAAAAGAAAAGTATTCCATGGTTCAAAAGAAAACAGATTAATTACCAACTAAAGGCACAGAATAATACCACGTATGAAAAGTAAAGAATGAACGCTACCCATTCTTGTCAAAAAAAAAGAATCAACAGTACCCAAATTAAAGACTCAACAACACTTATTAATATTATGCTTAAAAACACATTCCTCTCTCTCTCTCTCTAGAAAAACCCTAGATGAAAGATAAATAGTATAATAGGCCTTTAATCCTATCTCTCTTTCTCCGAAACCCATGTGCATTCATGTCTTTCCTCCTCTCTCCCTCTTGTAAGGAAAAAATTACAGATGAAAGGAGAAAGCATTGATAATTGTCTCCATTCTCCTCTCTCTCTCTCTCTCTCTTGAAGGTTAATTTGAACTTCTCTCATGCCGTCGTGCATGAGTAGACACACGAAAACCATGTTGTTCGAGTGTTAAATTGGACCACTCACAAAGAATCGAGCTTCGGCTTGAGTGGTTAGCAGCTGACGTTTAGTAGCAGTACATTATACATTTTATGTGCTGTGAAACTTTATCACATGCATGTTTCTCATTTTCCTCTCCTTCTCTCACATATCCATAGAAACACACACACAAGTTTCCACACGCTCATACCAACACAATTGATTGCACATGACTTCTCATAAACTTCATGCAAATGGCAAACCGGTCATCCACCCATTTCAAGCTATACAGTTCTTGTGGATCTATGAACACTTAATTTTAGAGTGAAATAGACGATCTAGATAATTTGTTACAATATATATTATTTTTAGAATTTAATTTAATTTTTTTCTACGCAACTTTAATTTTCAAACAAGATGATTGACGTAAAACTTCTCTAATCTTTGAATTGCTATTTTTTATGAGTTATGAAGTGATGCTTTATTTACTTTGATAGAGCTGCAGCCCTATCAAACCATTTTCTTTTATTTTATATTTTGATTTGACTTTCCTGTTTTGAGAAAAATAACAAAACCATGCACATTTACGGGATGTTTTGGTCAATTGTAATTGATTTGGGTATTTTTGGCATTGTGCCCAGTCTCCTCTTTTATAGTTTTAGAGCATTGGATCCTCACTGAACCTCTGTCACGGGAAACACAGTACATACCCATGTCCTCTTTCTTCTCGCTCCTTTTTCCCTTCTTTTCCATAGCCTTCCTTGTCTTTACCCATAAATAGTGTTTAATATTTTTTTTCCAATTTATTTAAATGGTAATGTTTTTCCCTTTATAAATAACATAAAAACAACAAACCCAATCTCTGTCCAAATCTGAATAAATCAGAAAATATTGAAAAAATACAGAGAAAACAAGAAATTGCTTTGAAGGTACAGCGCAGTTCAAGATTGTTTTGGAATAATAAGGGGATAAACATAAAATATCTATATTTTTTATAGAGCGGCTAGGAGAGCCCTTTTGTAATATCTAGCTTGGGTGAAGGGTATTTTAGTCATCTTGGGGAAAGGAAATTTTGCCATTTATTATAAAAATCATTTTTTTTTTCGTTTTATTCACCTGACCATTTTTTAGGGAAATTTATCGAATTTAGAGATCAATTATTTAATATTTATTTGGTTTAAAAAATACCCATCAAAGTAGGCATGACTTTGAAAAATGGTGAATTGTTAAATTGTTGGAAAGTTAAATGCATTTTGATAAAGAACAATTTTAATTTTTTTTATTCACCTTGGTTAATTATACTATTTTTCTGGTTTTTTTATTTTTTTTTATTTTATATTTTGATTGTGGGGTCTTTTCAAGTGAGAATTGGAGCTCCATGGACGGATTTAACAACTCCTCTGATGATTCTTGCAAGATGCCATGCAACAGATAAACCCTACCAAAAAGCCCACAAAGGAAACCACAATTTCATAAACCCAACTTAAACCTTCCTCTGCAACTCTCTCCCGAAAACGAGACAGACCCAACAAAAAATTTCGGAAAAATACAAAAAACCCACCTTTTCTCCATTGCCTTGAAAGTTGAAACCCATTTCACCTTCAAAGTCCCTTCGTCTTCTGCATCCAAGAACCCAGTTCTTTCTTTCTCCATTAGAGCCCCCAAAAAGCTCTGTTTTATTTTCTATGGCCTCTGTTTTTTTGCTTTCATCATTCAAGCTTTTTGCCAGTGTTTTGGCACTGGAAAGCTGAGCTTTCTGGAGGCAACGGTCCTCAATTTAGGGTTACAAACGGTCACTTTCAAAGGCATCATGATTGTCTCTTAGGTGGCCCTCAAACCAGTCTAATCACTTGTAGTTTTGATGATCATCTATCAAAACGGAGTTTTTTTCTATGACCTTCTCTTGCAAATATATTCTATGACGAGAAATAGTTTTTAAAGCAAGTTGCAGAGTTTGTGTCACATAGATTTGTGGGGGGTGCAGGATCAGAGAGGAAGATCCAGCATCATTCATATGAGGAGATCTGTAAATGTAAGTATCAGGTTATCACTGTTAATTTTCTTGTTTACTAAGTGTCTTTTGATCCGTTTTTTGTTTTAATTTTTTGGGTTGACCTTCTTGTCTTGAGTTGGAACTTGGAAGCTCTATGGACTGTTTCAAAGATGGTTTCTCTCTCTCTCTCTCTCTCTTTCTATATATATATATATATACGTGTGTGTGTGTGTGTTGAGTTGTGATTTTCTGTTCTGAGGCTTCCCTGAGAGTTAGACAACAGGTAACTGTTATAGGATGTAATCTCTTGAATTATACTATTTTACTAGTCATGATCTCCTCAGGGAACTCTTCCACTGGAATGTGTTTCAATGTCACTCTGTGTTTTTATCTCTTATACTTCATGTTAGCATCATTTTACTTAATACGATACCTTTCCTTGGATTTCACTTGATCTTCAATGGACCTACTCAGGAAAATCTCTCATTGTGATCTGATACCCTCCATGGAGTTCACTGCTTTGAATTGCTGGTTTCTGAGTCTTAATTAGTTCCGAAACGTCGCCTAATATTACTGGTTCATGGGTCTTGATCATTTCTGAAAAGCCCCTAGTATAACACTTCTTTTGACTGCATTCTGCTCATACTGGTTAGTTGACAAGTTGGGGAAGTACAGTTGCTAGAGTGGCTTAAAAGCTGGTTTGGTTTTAAGGATCATGAATCAAAACTTGGTATCCAGAGCTTGTCGAGAGTTTGAGGTGAGAATGGCAAGAACTTGATAGAAATTGCTAGGAGATCTTGGAACCTAATTGTCTGATACATGTAAATTCAATGTTCATAATAGATTGCTAAAGAAATGAAAGATGAGATCCTCGGCTACAATGGGCCAGAACCCATTACCTTAATGCTCCTCAACTTGATGACAAAACTTAGTAGGGAAGAATTCACAAATTCTTGGAGTGATCATCTCTCAGGGTGAAATTATGTAATTAGGTGTAAAAGATCCAAGGCTTCTATGGAAATGCTCTGAGATGAAGTTGTCAAAAAGTCAACCCTTAGAATGTGATTACCTGCATGCACTTGTAATCTGATATTGAAGAGATGATCAACCCTCAACCCAATTTTCGGAATAGTGAGCGGCCATGTGCATGTTCTCTGGTTAGAATAACAAAGATTAATTCCTAATAATTGTAAGATGATGTAGAAAATTTTGAGTAATTCAGGTCATTTTCAAGGAAGCCGATGTAATATAGTTATGGAGAATATTGCATTGGTGTAGCCACTAAGGGTAAATTAACCATATTGCGACAATTGTTTTTTTTATGGTGCATCTTGTGACACTTGTTCTGGAAGAATTTTTATTTGGTCATTTTATGGTAATTAAATGAAACAGGTGAACACAACTTCTGAAAGTAAATTGTGAGAGAGAGGCATTAGCCTGAGTGGCTCTTCTTATTATTAGTTTATTCTATCATGGGAAATTTGACTATTGCATCAGAAAATATTCCTACATGAACTTATCAGCATATGGTCATGCAGATTCGAGGAAAATTAATGGAGGCTTAGCCCTTCTATTTACCAATAAGGAATATCTAGATTTAAGTAGGTCACCTAGGTCCATGGTTGTGTTTATTGCATCTTAATGGATATTATAAATAGTTGGTTCCTTCTAATATAATAAATGATTATTTGATTCAAATAGAAGTAGGTGCGCTCTAAAACTGAGCTTAATCTCCCAAAAGTAAAATGAAAAGAAACAGTTTTGGTTCCGAATGAAAAATAAAAATATTGGATCTAATTTGACTTCCCTTCCTTCAGCTATGGGAATTTCTTGTGATACTTGCATCAATTGGTGAGGTCCAATGGGTTGTGGGAAGCTGCTCATCTTTCGAACAGACAAGGGTTGCTGTGTTGAGGCCTCATAGTGTCTCCATAACTGAATTTGGTGCAGTGGGAGATGGGGTCACCCTTAACACAAAAGCTTTTCAGAATGCCATCTTTTATCTTCATTCCTTTGCTGATAAGGGTGGGGCTCAGCTTTTTGTGCCCAAAGGAAGGTGGTTAACTGGAAGCTTTGATCTCATTAGCCACCTCACATTGTTCTTGGATGAAGGGGCTGTAATTCTTGGATCTAAGGTGAGTTTACAACTTTTTCTTGCTTGTTCTTGCATATTTCCGCTGCTAAAAGGTGGGAGCTAACTCTAATATAACTTTTGCACACCCTCAAAGGAAAGAACGAACTCTAATCTGCTCAAAATTTGAGCTGATTGTATGGCCGCTTGTCCTGTATACTCCTTTTTATTTTATATTTGTAAGTATGGTAATGGTTATTGGAGTGTAAGATCAAGTTTTAATATACTGAAATTTCAGCTGCTTATATGGTGGTCATGGGTCGTCATGGTGACTTCTCTCCCTTTGATTTTGTTTTGTACGAATTTGTAACACTGATTTGACAATAGAACAAGTTGTCTCTAAAAATTTGCAGAGTATATGGCAGTTATGGTGACTGTTGTCCCATTTATATCATGTTTACTTATATGTGGATATTGATTTAACTACAGAAAAATTTGATGTTATTCACTGAAAAAAGGAGCTTGTATGGTGGTCATAGGTGGTCATTTAAAAACAAAAAAATTATGGTACCTACGACCTTTTTATACTAGCGTGATTTGCTGATATTTTGACATGGATATCATTGCATTTGAACTTTCTTCAGGTTCCTCAGAAAAGGAATTTCCATCATTCAAGACTGTTGAAAATATAAACGCATGTTACATTTGTAATGGACTTTTAATTCAAAGCACAAAGGCACTTTCAATTCAAAGTAAAAAGGCATCAGTTTTGATAAAGAAGAAACAAAAAATTCCTCCTCAAAAAAAAAAAAACAAAAAATAATGCATCTGCCTTGTGTTAAATATATGCAGGTTTCCTTATTTAGTGTTTTCAAAGCTAACTAAGCTTTATGCTTCAGGACTCGGGCAATTGGCCAGTTGTTGATCCCCTTCCTTCTTATGGTCGAGGTAGAGAGCTTCCCGGTGGTAGGCATCGGAGTCTCATTTATGGATCCAATCTCACAGATATTGTCATAACAGGTGAAATCTCATTCAGGAGAGAGAGAGAGAGAGAGAGAGAGAGAGAGAGAGAGTTGCTAGCATATCCTATCCATTCAGGCTGAAATTGGACTGGTTTGTTTTCTTCACAGGTGAGAATGGAACAATTGATGGGCAAGGATTTATATGGTGGGACTGGTTCCGAAATCATACTCTGGATTACACTCGACCTCATCTTGTTGAGATGATGCACTCAAAAGGAGTGCTTATCTCGAATTTGACCTTCTTGAACTCCCCATTTTGGGCCATCCACCCTGTATATTGCAGGTTTGTTCATCCAACCATTACCCACATATCTGCTACATCATCATCATCATCATTGTTGTTATGGGTTTTTCATTATTTTCTTCTTGAATCAGTGCAAAGTTGGGATTTTATGTATTCAAAGGGGAGTTAAAAGTGTTTTTTGCTACATGAACAGCCATGTACATGTTCAGAATGTTACAATTCTTGCCCCTCCGGACTCCCCCAATACTGATGGAATCGATCCAGGTGAGTCTGCAGCTCTAGAACTCTTTTTAAGTCTCTTCCACATTTTAACAGAATGTCCACCTAATGTTTATGGTTCTATTATTCCATTGACAAAGGTTTATCCATAGTAAGAGACTTTAACACAGAGAGAGAGAGAGAGAGGCCCCGTGCAAATCACTTCCTTTAATTATAATATCATTCCCATGTAAAACTAGCTGTACCATAGCTCTATCACAAAACAATATCCGTATTATGAGACCAACCTTCTAAGGTCTGAACCCTTTCTTCTGTTCTCCACGCTCAATTTGTGTTAAGCCCTTAGCAGGCAGCCAGGTTTTATATCTTTCTATTGAACTGCACTATGATAAGAAAGACCCGTGAGAGAGAGAGAGAGAGAGAGAGAGCACTAACTTGAATTTTTGGTTGAGATTCTTACTCCAAATGACCAACTTGAAGAACTGAAACACAATTGCAGAAAGAGTTACTATCCAATGAGGTCCAGCTGGGGTTTGACTTTCTTTCTCTCTCTAATGTCATGCAGACTCTTGCACTGATGTCTGCATTGAGGACTGTTACATAAACACTGGGGATGATTTGATCTCCATCAAAAGCGGATGGGATGAGTATGGAATCATGTATGCCCATCCATGCTCAGACATAACCATACGCCGAGTCATTGGAGAGACCCAAAGCTCCGCTGCGGTAGCACTAGGAAGCGAGATGTCAGGGGGCATAAAAAAAGTTCACGTGGAAGACCTACAAATTTTCAATTCCAAATATGGTATCAGAGTCAAGACATCCCCAGGAAGAGGTGGTTTCATAGAGGATGTGTACATAACCAACTTGGTCTTGATGAATGTGGAAATAGCCATAGGCTTCTCAGGTCAATATGGGGAGCATCCGGATGATGGTTTTGATCCAACTGCTCTTCCCTCCATAAAAAGAATCACTGTGAAGGGTATCATTGGTGAAAATATCAGTAGAGCTGGCGTTCTTGAGGGGATTGAGGGTGATGATTTCAGTGACATTTGCCTAAGCAATGTCACTCTAAATGTGACCTCTGAGCTCCCATGGAACTGCTCCTATGTTCAGGGGTACTCGGACTTGATTTCACCAGAGCCTTGTGAGCCTCTTAGAGAGAAAATCCCTGACTGGTCGGTTTGTTACAAACCTGGAAATAAGAGAGTGGCGTCACGGAAAACAATCCAATTGGTTGAGGATGTTGTGGAGCTTCTGTTCATATAGTTAGTGAGAGATTGTCATTCTAAATAAAAAGGAAAAGCAAAAAAAGCAGTCATTATAAGAATGCCAATTAAAGAAACTTTGATTCTTGCCTTAGAATTTGACATAACCAGGGTTGTTATGCCTTGCATAGAAAGCATGCTTTGCTGACTTATACAGTTAGAGTGATGGGTCCCGAGACTGCCCTATTCGGCGGTAGCGTTTGATTAATGTTTGGGATCATAACATGAACTTGGATTCTCCTGTGGAGGTTTGAGATGATTCTGAAGATGTATTTGTTTCTCTTGGGTTTGTTATTTTATGATAGAAAAATCATGTGTGTATTTGAAAAGAGGAAACTGTAATTCGGTTTTTCTTTTTTTGAGTTTGGATGGAGTGGAACATTTCCGGAGTAGTGATGGCTGGGCTAAGCCACTGCTGGCCCAACAACCAAAAGGCCGAAGTTGTCATCTTTGCTTCGCTTCGGTTAAGAGTTATCTTGTTGAAAGATCTATGATCTACTGGGTAAATGGTCTTACAGACAAAAGCAATTTTTAGGTTCTCAAATTTTGGGAACTTGATCAATAATCCTCAAATATAATAAAATAAAATAAAGGTGAGGTTTATATTAGGTACCCATTGTCCATTGTATACTATACATCTAAGGCATACCTCTAAGTTTTGCCAAAAGATGTACTTCTGGTGGTAACCCTCCCGATGGCTTAAAAATCATATTTAGCCTTATATAAAATTTTAAAAATAGTGTAGATCGAAGAGATCTACAAATACTTGAAAATCTTAAGAACAGTTGGCCTAAATAGCTTATCAAAAGATGCACTATTTTAGAATTCTTTTTTTCTTTATTTCCACATATCTTGAGATGGAGATGATCAACTAGAAGGTTTTCAGTCTTTTCTACTAAATTTTTAAGGTGCACCTGTCTTCTATAGTATAAGATTGCAACCTAATATAAACTTTTTCTTAAAATACAATCATATAGTACTTATAAGGTTGCAACCTTGAACAATCCAATTAAGGCGCACATCCAA